GGTCATGTCTGGATGGACAGAACAGCACTTGTGATCTTAGAAAACATATACTCCAAAGTTCTCACTTGAAGTACAAATGGCTACGCTCAGACACATGATGTGAAGATATAATTCTCTGAAGGAAGGATCTAATGTTGGGGAAGGTAAAAGGGAAGAGAAGAGGATAACCAGCAGCAAGCAGGATGGTCTCAGTTACAGCAGCAATGGCTGCATCATTGGACCTGAAAGACCAGGTTAGGGACATAGATCATCTTGGAGAAAATCTATCTATGTGGTCACTAAGAAACAACACCAACCTGATGGCACATAATCAATTCACAAGCAGCATCCTTTGTGAAATTAGATTTTTTTTCCAGCAGCAGTGGGCAGATGTTGCTTTTGTAAAATCTATACTGTTTGCCGGTAATCAGTAATGGAATATATTTCTAATGAAGACCATAAGCAGCATGTAATTTACAAATACAAACCAAATTTCTCATAAAACACTCCAAATGGCACAAATACCTGCTTAAAGTCAAGCCTTTAATAATTATGTGTTCCAGAATGAGAAGAAGCAGAGATGAGAGATTAGCAGCTGCCAGCGACAGCAGAATTTATTTATACCTTTCAATTTCATATGCTCTTGTGAAATTATTCTTTGCTTCTATTTATAATTTATTTTAGGTAATTGTTATGTAATTGTCTTTTTTGTTCATGAAAATTGCAGAAAAGGGAGGTGGGGAACCAGATGATAACTTCTTTTAAGTAACCCTGTTGCCATATGTTTGCATTATTTTTTCCCATTTTTTTTCCTTTCCAAAACCAAATTCAGAAACAAGAAACATATTCAACTGCTGTCTAATGTTAGGATAGGTTGTGCTAGATTTCACCTTAGAAACATCTCCAGTTACATTAAGAGCCCTCACAGCAACGCGCACCATTGTTTTGCAAAATGCCTATTGAATTGTCAGATGATGTAGAACAGCTTAAAGGTGTGCGTTTTGTCTTATTAAACAAATAAAATAAAAACTTGTTATCTAGCATTCTCCCCACCTATACTTTTCATTTTATACACTGCTGGAGGGACAAAATATCTCACAAAGAGACTCCTGACAAGGTGCCTGTTTAGGAAAATGTGAACAGATAAGCATCTACAAAATCAGGAAAAGAGTAATCATGACTTAACCAGAGAGGTATCTGTTTTGGAAAACCGGTGAACAGATGAATGTGTCAGATTAAAAATCTATTCATATTTTTTTCCTTTTCCTTTCTGGAGTCAGTTACTAAAGCATATAGAAAAATCCAAATTAACTCCATTTGCGGCCGTCATTTCTACACTCTTTGTTCTTGCTGTTGATTTTTTTTACTGCTGCTTTTGATTTTTTTTTTTCTTCAGGTATAAAATGTTGATCCTGCTCATGAGGATACCATCTACATTTCAAATGGTAATTTAATTATATATCTCTTTAAAATTTGGTACAAATTCTCAGGCTTCTTTTCATAAATGCATTTAAAAAAAAAAAAATCTCCACAAGGCATCCCTTTGCCTTTTAACTAACACAGCGTGCATTTTTCTTCTGAAATCTCTCTCTCTCCGCTTTTGTGTTCGTCCATCATGGGGCTGGCCTATCCTGCACATTGCAAGGGAAACCTATGGGTCACCAGTGGCAGTGTTGTTGGGTGAAGGCCTTGACTACAGTAGCTGAAGAACGATTCAAAGGCCTGGCTCAGGAAACAGGCCAGTTCCAGACAAAGGAAGCGAAGACAGCTACAGGGGTGGGGGTGGGGGTGGGTGCCCACAGCAGCAGGTCACAGCACAGCACCAAGGGACTGGCAGGCAGCCCAAATCTTCTCTCTGCCTCTGAGTCACTCCTTCTCTCCAAACATGCAAAGCAAAATGGGAGAGCGGAGAGGGAGGAACTCGGCTTAAGGTTCAGAGCACAGCCCCCCACACTTCAGCCCCAGGCAAATCCAAGCAAACTTCTCAGAGTCGGAGCTAAGTCTAAATTTGCCTCAGTTCAAGTACAATCTTATGTGATGGCTTTTGCAAATGGCAGGGACAGGGCAAAAGAGAGGCTTCGGTCTGAAAAAATCTACAGGAGCGGGATTAGAGGAAGACTGCAGCTGCCAATCCCGCTTTTGTGCAAGCAATAGAAGCAACAGACACCCGTGCTTTCAAGCTCCAGGTACACATACCCACTTTTGGATAGCTGACACTCAGAGACAAGTTCCACAATACAAAAGGTAGCATATGTTTTCCCCTCTGTTTTGCCCAGAGGCAGTTCTTGTTTGCCACAGGTTATTAAACATGAGGCTTTTACTTCTCTGGGATAAGATTACAGTGTTTTGGAATTATTGTAGCTTGAAAGATTTGTGAGTTTGGTAAACCGAACTTCTCCATTCTGCCATTCAAACATTTTAATTATATAGTGAGGGGTCCTCAGCTAACCCACTGTGACAAGTCACAAAGGAGCGCTCTCTTTTTTCAACAAGTCGTTATTCCCAACCTCCTCCACATCTGGAGGACATCAGACTGGTGAAAGTGCTTGATATCTGGCTACAGAGAAAAAGAACTCATGGAAAGTAAAGTAAGTAGA